AAGCAGGGTAACAGATTGAGACAGATTTAGCTTCTAATTGAAGAGAGGTGAGAAAGAAGAAGGGCAGTTAGTACAAATGACAGAATCGAACATGCTCTAAGATGACTAAGCAATTGAAAGAAATACCACATTCTTGATGTTGCATCCCGTTGTCTGAATTCCAGGCAGCACCTACATGCACTTTGAAAACACTGTACTTCTTCTTATAAAGACGAGTATTTTTACAGATATTGAATCTAGAAAGGGATGTCATCTAGAAGTTAGAATTGCTCAGTAAGAGGTTTGTTATATCTTTACTCATGATACTGAGTTGTTGTGAGACCCTGGGAAAGCAGTAAGACATCCAAGTGTAGCTTTTCTCACAAGGCTGGACGCAGACTGTTTTCTGTCAAGGCTGGAAGTTAAACAGCAACCTGGTCCCTTTGAGCTTAGTCCATGGCAGAACTCCACTTACAAGGCAACAGTATCAGACTCTTAATACTTAATAGCATATAGAAGGACAGTGTGAAATCATAGAACCACTGGGACACATTTCAAATGGAAAATGTGAACTCAAGGGAAGAATGAAATCAAGAAGCACAAAAATTTAGCTCTTGATTTATCCAAATCTGACAGCAGTACTTCATGTAACAAAAAACAGATCAGCTTGGCAAAAAGTTTTCCTTTTTTAAAGGAGGTTTAGCTTTAATCTGTGATCGTGATAGATTGTCCATGGTCAAGAACCCCGCACTGATGTAAAAAACTGGTATTACTTGACACCCTAGTAACACAGACTTTCCATTGTGTAAGAGTGCTGTTGTGTTCCCAGTTTTTCACATCTGCTTACCAATGTACTGTATATATTTGGGTGGGATTTTTTTAAGTTGAAAACACAGAATTGTTAGCCCAAATGTGTTTCAGACATGCCTTGAGCATGCTTTTAATTTCCAGCTCCTTTTCCTTTCAAAAGTTCTTGCAGTTTAGCAACTTCATTTGCATGAACAGACTTGAAGTTTGCAAGGAACTTGGCTGCAAAGGTTCTATGAACAAATTCAGAGTTCTGCCAATATATATGGGTGTGACATGAAGGTCTGAGCATTCAGGCTTTCTACCTGAGCCTCTTCATAGATCCATGTAACATGCAAAAAGGGACCTTTGTTATGCAAGTGATGTGTATGCAGAGTGCATCAACTTGTTTTGGAGGTAAATGTTGATTTTTCACTGCTGTTTTTTTCCTTCAAGACAGGGCAATTAAGAAAAAATTTAGGTTTCTATGACTCTCATTGAGAGTACGAGTAAATCTACACTAACTACAATCCAAAAGCTAGGTTTCAGTTACTATAGGCCTTCCTAACTTACCTTTACATTAGCTAGCCTAAATAAGAACAACAAGTTTAGTTTTAAGCTGGACTGTTACAGCTGGACTATTACACAATTGTGGTTAAATATTTAGAAATCATAAACGCATCTTTTGAGCTATGGTCCCAGGAATGGGCCATTCAGGGATGATCCAAATTTAAACCTATTAATTCAGAACATATTTGTAGAACTGTATTAAAGCTGTCTTCCTTTACCCTTCTGTTAAGAAGTAGAAACCCAGAAATTTAAACAGACAAGCAGAAGCCAAAACTGAGTGAGTTATCACTGAGATGTATTATATGGCTACCACCTTGGTCTTGTTGCAAACTGGAATAAAACATCATTTGAGGTGCTGTGAATATAGCTTAAACCTATTTTGTTTTTTTTTTTTTGCAATTTATACTTTACTGTGAGTGTCTGTATAGGAAACAAATAGAGCAGTACTGTGCAACTATCCAAAATGCAATATTAATTCTGTTACTAAGTGATAGCATTAGAAACTGATGCAATTTTACAAAATTAACAGGCCTGCTTACTGAATGCTCCAGTGCACTGGTTAAGGACTTCTGAATAGAAACATGGAAGGGATTCACTTTGGGACAACTTTTAACTTATAATTAGGAACAACAGCTGCGATGTGACAGATCCTTGTTACCATCAACAAAGGTATGTACTAAGTGTCTGTTTGCACCTATGGACATTTACCAAAAGCAGTTTGGGTAATGAAACCTACATGAATGTATAGTTTAGGGGGGTTCACTAACAGAGATGAACTTTTTGAACAAAAGCACATGTTGGTTTTGTAAAGGTCACAGTCTGGAAAAAGACATCTTGCCGAAAAAGAATGCAATGGTTACTATACAAAAATCGGATGAAATCCCAGAATACTGGTTTTTTGCCACTTTTCAGAGTGGAACTGCAATGAATAAGGGACAAACCTCATCTTTTCTCAGTGTTCTGTATGGTATGTGTAGATTTTAAAGCTATTTGACTTTTTTGATGAATTAGGTGAATTTTAAAATAACTTATATTTTTCACCATATTTATTACAGGCAAGATGCAGTTACTTCAGTTTTACTCTAAGTGTGCTTTTGCTTCTTGCTTTTGTACATTTGTATGATGTGGTAACTACTGGTTTTCTCTGCTTCAAGGTAAATCCAAAGTGTAAGGAGGAAAGGAGTAAAAACAGTTCATACTTTTATGAAGTTTGAAGAGCTGTTTAGGAAAATTTTAAATATCTAGAACTATTTTTACTCTCATTCCAAATTTGGTATCAACTTTGCACACAGATCAATAAACTGAAATCATAATGAATGAAGAAAAACCACTTCCAGTACATTTTAGAATAATATTCAAGCTGGAAACAGATACATGGAATCAATATTCATAAGATTATTCCATTTCCACAGGCTTCAAAGGACTTGCAAATGTTTTAAATTAATAATTAATTTTGTTTCTAATCTGAACAAATTGTGTAATATTGCTGACTTTTCCATTTTAAATGAGTCTGTGATGATTTATGCATAAAGAGACTAGACTCAGGAATCAAAAAATCAGAATGACTTTGATTAACTTCATATCCTTACATTTTTAACACTGCTCCTTATTTCCATACCAGAAAGTTGTTATATTTGTTACCAGTCCAGACACTGAGTCATTCTTTTTAAACCAGACACTAGGCTCTCTGTGTAATTTCTCTCTCCCCTTCAGAGTTTTTGGACTGAGAGGAAAATTGTAGTGCCAGGTGCCTCCCCTAGCTCCATTTCTAGAGGTATTACTGTAAAAACACAGAGGTGCTAAATGCTGCCAAGCGGCAATGGAAATTCTCTGAGCTCTGGTTGTTTCAGAAGCAGCTAAATTAGGGAATACCACCTGATCCTGACAGTATGTACAGACTTACAGTTTCAGGTTAGAATGCTTCATCTTCTTCTCTCTAAAAGCCTCTTTCCTGACACTTTATCATGATGCAGTGATAGTCATACAGCTTATTTCATATGAGGTAACCTGGCATTTAAAGGTAAGGACTCTGCAAGCTTCTCTCTAAATTTTATTGTCTTCTGAAAAAATTTGTGGAACTTTTAACAGAGCTGAAATGCAAGGATTTAGATATTGTTCATATTTTGCGTTAAAAAAATCCATGTGTGATATAGGTTTTAAATGTGTTAAAAAATCCATGTGTGATATAGGTTTTAAATGTGTTAAAAAAATCCATGTGTGATATAGATTTTAAATGTGGGTGGCACCAGGAACTCAGTTGCTGTTCTTTTTGCAAACAAATAACCCTTGAACACTGTTTACAGTATGGCCACTTTGACCTATGCCTGTTTTCAAAAATACCTGTTTCATTCCAAAGCATAAAATTAAATTTATTTTCAAAGGGATTCAGTTTCCTAACTCAATTCTACTCGTTGCGTAAGATAACTGGGCTACCTATGTATAGATGCTTAGACTCATACACTTCCATCGCAGGGGTGCTCTAGTAACTATAGATGTCAAGAAGTTTGGAAGTGTCTTTCAAATTTGTCATTTTTCAGTGATTCCAGTTCTCACCACTAGATGGCTTCCCAGGATAGTGGATGTAGATCCAGACCTGAATTAACATGTGGGACTGGATTCATTTTGTCACATTCTTAGTGACAGATACAGTCATAAACCCGAAGTTCTTTCCAGCTCAGCTGTGAAGACAGCACTGTGATGTTTGACGCTCTTGATCGTCTTTTGACATCCTCAAAGCTTTGCGTATCAGGTTATTTCTGCTTGCTGCCACAAGTTACGAACTGTGCCTGAACAGCCCTCAGTTCAAATGTGCAGTTAGAGCCTCCTCAGCAATGCTTAATCCGTACAGTTGAAAACAGAATTTACCTGCTTAATGCTTAACAGTGCAGCCAGCCAAGCTGGGGGACCTAGTTGCAATACACTTTGCCCTTTTTCCTGTTACAACACAGTTTAAAGTACTATGGAGACCTTGTGTTGCAACTATGCCCTCATAACTGGACAAAAAAAGTCTTGGAAAGGGAGAGAAGAAAAATCACCCTTTGTTGTGAGGAAGCGAGTCTCCCTCCTTCATTCAGAGCCTGCCTTTTTCACTGCCCCCTTTTCAGCAATGCAGGCATCTTCTAGCTGGGAAGATCCAGGAGTTGTCATGTTGTCCGTAAAAACATCGGTCCAAAGCTAATAGATTGTGATGATTATCAGCCTGGCAATCTACAGCTGAAAGAAGTTTCCCCCTCCACACCAGCTGATCCTAGGCAAGCAATTCTCTGCCAGCTCTCCCTAAGGCCGAGATGGCTCCCTTGAACTCAGCCTTAACCCTGACTCTTCCTGGAACTGCTTTTTCCCGGGCTCAAGCCAGACCAAAGCACCTTCCTTCGGGAGAGGGTAGGTTCGGGAGGCGGCAGGGGCTGCCCGGCTCGGTTACAGCCTGCGCCAGCTCCGAGCCCGGGGTGGCACCCAGGGAGCCCGGCGTGGCACGCAGCAAGCCCCAGCTTGAAGGCTGCAGCCCCGGAGCCAGCGTGCGCCTCAGCCTGCCTGCATGTGTGAGTTTATGTGCAGCGGCTCCCAGATCGCTCTGGGGGAGGGGAGAGCAAAGCCAGCCACTCACAGAAACAGTAGTGAAATCTCCCCAACACTTTAACTGTCAATCAGGCTTAATGGGGTATAAAAACTCCCCAGCGCCGCGGCTGTGATAGGCAGAGAGAGCAATAGGGAGAAATGAGTAAGAGCTGAAATAGTGTACGGCATAATTCCTGCTCTGTGATCACAGATACTCCAAGTGCAAAAAAACAGGAGAGGGGGCAGAGAGAGGCGGTAATCAGCTCAACCTTTGTAACCGGCTCAGGACAGAACGTCTATAGATATTTATAGATATTAAAACAAAACCAACAACCTTACCCTGAATAGAGCCTTTCTTAAAAAGAAGGTCCTGGCAATTCTGTCTTATTTAAGCAATTTCCTGAGTCTAAGAATAGAAATGAGCTGCCTGGAAGGCACTGCAGGCTGAAATTTGGAGACATAGGCTGCTTTATTTTATTTTTCCAAGTATAAAAACCTTCCCTTTGGATACTGGATTTTCATGTCGGTCTTTGAAGCGGAGGGATGTATGGTTACTTTTAATTTTACTTTTTTAATTTTCTCTCTCATTTAATTTAAAAAAACTGTCTTCCAGTTAAAAAGCAAGGAAACCGTTTTACCTGCATGTGACAATCCCAGAGGACACCGATCAAGAAACAGGGGAGTGACTTGGTCTTCTGCACTACTTTACTCCTACCCCAATTTTTTTTTTACGGGGAAAGAAGGATTTTTTTCCAGTCCAAGAATCTCTTGCCCCCAAGTTTTGGAAGGGGGTTGAAGACTGGTCACCCATCTGGGGGTGCATGAAGGGTGTTGGTTCTCTGTTAACTTGGTCTTGTGAAGGGCTGGAAGAGAATTTTGCCTTCCTGACTTGCCTGGAACACGAGGATGATTTGGAAATGGCTGGGCGCTTTGCTGCTTTTCCCCGTGCAGATGGTTTATTTGGTGGTGAAAGCTGCCGTGTGCATGGTGCTGCCGCCCAAGCTCCGAGACCTGTCCGGGGACAACGTGCTCGTCACCGGCGGGGGCAGAGGCATCGGCCGCCACCTGGCCAGGGAGTTTGCGAAGCGGGGAGCCAGAAAGGTGAGCACCGGCATGAAGGGGGGGAGCTCCCACCTGCTGCTCTACCGGGAGCCCTCCGACTCAGACTTACAAACCTTTTCCCTCACCTCTGGGTGGGGTTGGTGGGATCGCTGTGAGAAGGGGGAAGGGGCGCTCCTTTTGCAAAACCCTGGCGTGCTGAGCCATTACGTGGAGTTACACTTCAGAAGTTGCCCGCTCCTCCTTCCCTGCATCCTCCCTCCCCACCTTAGCTCAGAAAACGTGAAGGTGAGAAAGGGGCCCCCTTGCGAATCCTTCTCTGCTGACAAAGGAGAGGCTTTCGCTCCAGCCTAGGTTTCCTGTGGCAGGCAGGGGAGAGCTAAGCGATTCCCAGGCGTGGAGCTAGTGCTCACTCGCATTTCTGTTTACTAGGCTGCTTCCTGGCAGTCCTGCTTGCTGGGACTGTGCGAACAGAGAGGGGGGCAGCTGCCTGCCGGCTCCAGCCTTTCAGGCTGAGCACAGCTTTAGCTCTCCTTAGGCGCAGCCCGGCTGCCACTGCCACGCGTGTCACCCCAAAGGAGAGGGGCTCGGCTCGGAGCGGGGCAGATGGTGTGTGCAGGGGGGGCTCTGGCTCTCGCTCCTAATGATGCATTCTCTCCGGAAAGTGGGGAGGAGAGTTCAGATTCACCCTAGTGGTTTCCCATTCGCGAAAAAATAATATCTTGTGCTTTCTGAGGTCCCTTGTGTTTTGCTTTTGGCCAGCCCGGAGCTGTTCAGAGGTAAGATGACACAGCAAGGAAGAAAAGCACACCATGAGTAGGAGCTGTGAGATTGTCTGCACATTTCCTTTAGGAAAGAGGAAAAGGGAGAGAGGCTGAGAGATTGGTCTGTCTGCACAGCAGCCTGGAAATGCCAGTGTAGCTGGTGTGTCCTTTCTCTAGCTCAGGAACTGGTGGTTTACCTTGAAACGTGGTGCTTTCATAAGTACAGGTGTGCTCATATGTGTGAATCAATCAGGAATACAAAAACCATACGTACCCTGAAACGAGGCTTGAGATTGAAATCTTCATCTCCCCCTTTCTGGGTCATGAAAGGGAAGAATCATGAAATTAGCTGGATAAATACTTCCCTCTGTGAGAGGGGATGAATGAGAGTAAATAGAGAATAAAGAAGAAAAATACAGAATGAGAGGATATTTAAAGAAAAATTTGCATTTAGTTTGGGATAGTATTTTGTCACTTCCTTACACATGCATTACAGTTTTCTATGTGTGGTATAGAGCTATTCTGGCATACAACTTTGAGGTGTAAAATATGTCAGCATTGAACTTTGATGTTTGTATATGCTTGTGTTTAAACATCATGTTGAGATTTACAAATTCTTAGAGACAGAGCAAACAAGTTGACTGACCTTTGGACCCAAGCAATTTGCTGAAAGTGTATTTATATTATCTGTTAGAATACCAGGCTTTATTATTTATTTATTTAGTCCGGCTGGTTGCTATGCTAAGCTCTGGTATTGAAGTACCACCATTTCTGCAGCTAATTCAAGTGCTGCTTAGCTGCAGTTGAGCTAGAAGCTGAACAATGGCAGTCAGCCTTAATGAACCAGGTGACATGGGCCAAAAGGAGAGGGAGCTATTGAAGAGGGTGAAATTACTGTAAACAGATATAGATAAGACATACAAATGAACTACAATCTGTAAGATCTCTGTTTCCCAGAAGGAAAATAAGTTAGAACAGTTGTTGGGAACCTTTGCACTTGTCTGATATGATGTTGTGTAATGTAATACTGTGTAGGTGTTTAGAACTTGGGGGGGTTTTCCTCATGGGCTTTTTCCATGTCTGTCATCAAGATGTTTCAGTTTTTGCATTTACTGAACTTGAATTAGATTCTCCTTTTGGTTATACCATGGCTATCTAATGAGTCAAATATGGCACCAGCCAAGTGTCGACCCTCTCTGGCAGTGGCATTACCCTTCTGCCTTTGGTAGTGGCACATTTTCACGGCAACACTGAAGTAGTCTTATCCTTTTCTTCCTTAACACTTTTAATGACAGTTTTACCTAAGTTTCCATTCTCTTTGCTGTGAGATTTCACTTCTTCCCTGCCATCTGTGTTCAACCCAAACTTTGTGAATTTATTGCAGTGTCTATGTAGAATGCAGGAGACCTCTATTTGGCACTCTCTTCGATTTTTATGCTTTGCCTTAGACAATCAAAAAGAAAGGAAAGACTTGAAGTGGCTGGCAAGTCATCTTTCAATAAGGCTTGTGAAAATTAACTGTTCGATTTTTCTGTTGTCTTCTTACAGTTACCTGTTTTACAGTTATATCCAAAGCTTCAGTTATTGATTATAATTAATAATTTACAACAGATTCTGGTTATCGGACGGTGTAGTCACAATACTCAAAGCTTAGCAAAACGTTTCCGCCAAAGACGTGAAATTCTGAGGCCAAGCACAGCGTTACATAGAGATGAGTGGAAACAGTAATGTGTAGATTCAGATTCTAATAGTGAGTGTACAGTGTATCTTGACAAAGTCATCACAGCGCTTGCGCACACAGACATAGTGGCGGAGTTTTGGAGGTAGGCGGCGATATATAACCATATTTTTGAGATTAGAATCTTCTGAAAGATAGGTTAGTTGGGACTTAGCATATGAAATTTCCCCTGATAATTAGACAGGATTGGATTTCATCTTACACTCTGTTTTCGGAGGCTGGTTTTGTTAATCACAAATGAGATGTATCTGAACAGTTCTCATGTAAAATAACAAGTGCGGTATCTCACTAAGATTATGAATTGTCACATCTGCAACTTTTTTACTGTAAAATTTGATCTTGCATTTAAAGCTATGAAGGTGGCAAGAAATAAATCAAAAAAAGCGTTTATACAAATTGAAATACAGTGTCTTCTGTTTGATAGATTAGCATGGAGATTGAAATTCTCAATCCAACAGAACGGAAGTCTTTTGGGCATGATCATGTAAATCCATCCTGATTCCCATTCTCTGCCCCCATTTTTTGAAGTCCATTTTGCCTCAAATATGACTTTGACAGATCAATGTCTAGGAGACATTTCCTTCTAAGGTGATACTGTTTTGTTCATGGTTGTTCATTGGCCTCTCTGATGAAAAGGCCACAAAGGGGACAAAGCTGTGTCAGTTGTATTTTCAGTTAGGGAAGTGTCTATCTTCTAGTTTTTTCAGTTAAGACTACCAGTGATTTCTAGGCAATGAGAGACTTTAATCATTGGATCATCCCTCCCTGTTTAGGTGTATACTAACAGGTCAAAGGATCCATACCCCATCTTTACTTTGGGATAGAAGTTTTCAGAAACTACTTGGCTATGGAAGGCATTGTGTACATAAATGCTTCCTGTAGCACTTCTGGAAAAAAACAAAAGCATGTAAATTTGCTGTATACAGAGAAAGAGTGGTTTACAGATGATAGGGGACATGTTAGTGTTATTATGAGGGATGAATAGCATTTCATTTTCTCCGGAAGTACTCAAATATTGTAATTCAACTTTCACACTGTTCCCCAGAGCTGTGTCCAGATTCAGAAGTACCAGCTGAGCAGTTACTTTACTGCTGCTGAATTGCTGGAGAAATGTGCTTTTTTGCTTTCAGTTCCTTCTTGGTTGCTTGCAAAATTCAAAACTGAGACTACTGGTGGGTTTAACTCCTGAGAATTTTGACTAGACCTTAAAAGTATTTGACCAATAGAGCATCACCTCTGCCTCACTCTCACACATTAGTAGCTTTGTTAAGGCTCTTAGCTTTCAATATTCTGTGGTTAGCCAAAATGGCAGAGTGTACCTGTGCTAATGAAAAGGGAGGAGAGATTTTTGAGTTTATGATTTAATGCCTATGAAATAAAAATACACTTCCAAAGCCTGATGGTGTTTTGCAAAGAATATACTGTATATTTGAGTTAATATTGGGAAGTCTGGCCCTTTTGAACAATATTTCTTGTGTGGAAGAACAGCCCTCTGCAGATGTGAGTAGTCAGGGGGATGTAGAGGCTGAATGGGTTCATTCACTGGTGGTTAGAATTGGAAAATGCCTCTGGTTTCATTTGCTTTTCCTACAGCATTTTCTATTATAGTGCTTTTGCCAGAGAGTTGTCAGCCCTGGTTTTGATGATCTGCAGTGATGCAGTTTTGATTCATATGTCTTTTGTATGTCATTTGTATGTCTTGCTATTTGTTAGGCTTTCTGGAAGGGCATTTCCTTGATGTCTAAAAATTTTCCTTGTAATTTTAATTTACTTTGTTCACAGGTTATTTAATCTGAGGTCTGACTGAACAAAAAAGAGATGCTTCATTCTTAAGCATTCTGGATTTTTCAATATCACCAAAACCTAATAAAAGTAACAGAGAAAGATATAACTGTAGGATAAAAACAGATTCCTCAACTCTGATATGTGTTTTAGTATTCAAAGTTATCTGACAGTGACTTTGGAAGCCTTTCTTGGGCCTTTCCTGTTAGGAAACTGGTCAAAAGCCATTGTTTATCATTAGGTTTTTTTATTTGCTTGGAGAGCTCTGGGCTCAGAAATCAGCAGTAGGGATCTTCAGTAGTGTATCTACAAGGGATCTTACACAGCAGTGCTTTTCTATTGTTCCTTTGTGATCGTTTCTGTGATCTCAGTTTCTTTCAATGTATATTTTGCCCTCCCATGTTTGCTGCTCTTTTCCCCCTCCAGCTGTGATATGTTTATCTGATTTGGTAACTATAGCTGTTGATGAAGGAACAGGTGGGCTTCTAGAGGATCAGGGGTGTTTTGGCATGAGAATGTCCCCAAAGTACCCAATGGGTTAGAGGCAGCCCTGGCCTTGTGTTTGTGTGACAGTACTGCAGAGGAGAGTTGCACAGTTCCCATTAACCTTGTTGGGAGTTCTTCACATTCATCACCATACAAGAAATGGCCCTGTAAATACACTGAAAGATCTCTCCTTTCACTGTTCTCTCCTCTGGACATTGACTTCCTATACTGCAGGAGACTGTGCGACTCAAAGGGTTTGCATGCTTGTGTGG